AGACAGACAGACAGACAGACAGACAGACAGACAGACAGACAGACAGACAGACAGAGAAGTGGACACACACAGAATTCTACACTCAGTAGTGTAGAATTCTGTGTGGACACTACATTTTAACAAAATAATTCCTGCCCCCCACCAGGGAGTACACACTTGACGTGTACAAACTGCACTCCCACGTAACCCTGGAGAACGCCAAAAAGGCGGGAACGGACGTTGTGAAGCAGACGGAGAGCCCCAAGATCAACAGCCTCCTGTACCCGGGCCTCCAAGCACTAGACGAGCAATACCTGGACGTAGACGCACAGTACGGAGGGCTGGACCAGAGGAAGATCTTTGTCTACGCCAGAGAGGTCACGTGATCAGCACACTGTATACCCATCGAAGTTAAATTTTCCCTTCTCGTGTTTAAATGATAGTCCCTCTTTATTTTTCTGTGCCAAAGAGTTCACGTGATTACTTAACCCAGCCCACCCAAGTTCATTTTTCATCTCTTATATTTAAGATAGATCTACTCGCGCTTTATCTGCGCCGGAGATGACGTGTGATTAGTTAACCCAGCCCATCCAAGTTCATTTTTTATCTCTTGTAATATATAAGATAGTCGCTTTTTATCTGTACCAAAAAGGTCACGTGATTAGCACCCAGCACATCCAAGTTCATCTAGCATAAAATATCACCATTTCTTGTTAGTCGAGATACGAGACCTACAACTGGTATTCCTCATGTTCTTCTCCTTGTCTCCCTTTCCAGGTCATGCCAAAGCTTGGCTACAAGAAGAGGATTCATTTCATGACCCCAATGGGTGAGTAGACACATTCAGACTGACACTTTATCAGTTATTTTTGTCAGCATTTTACGTCTTTCTTGACACAGTTATCGACATCTGTGCAATACAATGCAGTGCCATACAGTTTAACAGAGTACAGTACAGAACAATGCAGTACATTTCAGTTCAACACAGTGCAATACAGTACAATACAGTGCAGTGCGATACAGTTCAAAACAGTGAAATACAGTACCATAGGCTTACAATACAGTACAATACAGTACAGTGCAATACAGTGTAGTATAATGCAATACAGTACGACACAATGCAATACAGTACAATTCAGTTCAACACAGTGCAATACAGTACAATATAGTACAGTGCAATACAGTCCAGCACAGTGCATTGCAGTACAGTGAAATACTGTCCACTGCATTGTTGGTGTTGTTGTTGTTTTTTAGAAAACAAAACAAAACAAATCAAAACAAAAACCCCACTGATCACCAACTGAAATCGTCCTTCAATCCCCGGTCTTCAAGGAGACAAAATGAGCGCCTCCAAGGAAGAGTCCAAGATCGACCTCCAGGACTCACAGGAAAACTTGAAGAAGAAGCTGAAGGCTGCGTGCGTTCTGTGAGGAGGGGAAGGTGGAAACGCTTTTTTGGTTTAGATGGTCATCTAGATGTGTAGGATCTTTGAAGCAGTGCAAAGCAGCGCAGTACGATGGGATGTAAAACAGTGCAGTACGATACAGTTCAACAGTGCAATACAATAAACACAATACAATACAATTCAATTCAACACCGTGCAATGCAATACACAACGGTGCAGTACAATACAGTGTAGTTAAATGCGATGTGATACAGTGGAGTGCGATACAGTTCAACACAGAGAAATACAGTACCATAGGCTTACAATACAGTACAATACAGTACAGTGCGATACAATTCAACTCGGTGAAGTGCAGTACAGTGCAATAGTGTCCACTGCATTGTTGTTGTTGTTGTTGTTTTTTAGAAAACAAAACACAACAAAACAAAACAAAAACCCCACTGATCACAAACTGAAATCGTCCTTCAGTCCCAGGTCTTCAAGGTGACAAGATGAGCGCCTCCAAGGAAGAGTCCAAGATCGACCTCCTCGACTCACAGGAAGACGTGAAGAAGAAGCTGAAGGCTGCGTTCTGTGAGGAGGGGAAGGTGGAAGGCAACGGTGTCCTGGCCTTTTGTGAACGCGTCTTGTTCCCTCTTAGAAAGGACGGTTAGTGTGTATGTGTGAGGGTGTGTGTGTGGGGGGGTGTTTGTGTGTGTGTGTGTGTGTGTGTGTGTGTGTGTGTGTGTGTATATGTATCGAGGAAACTGTTATTTTTAAGTCAGCATTTTACGTCTCGTCCGCCGTGTGAAGTATGTCTGTGTGTCGGCCGATACAATAATGTT